ATCAGTGCCCTGTCAGATGCTGAATGCTCTCCTTTCCAGATGAAGTAAAGGAATGAAGGAGTGAAAGTGTCCAGTTCTTTCTGGAGACCTTCAGGACATCTTAAAATATGGCTCATCAACTTTCTTCAGTTTCTAGATACAGCTGCCATTTTCATTTGTAGAGCTCTAAGCCTCAGTCAGCTTCCCTGTGAAAAATATTAGCCTTTACTGACTGACTTGAAATCAAGTTCTGCCCATCTCATGTTGACCTGCAGATGTGTACAAACACTAACAAATTCATTTTTCCAAGGAGCAGTCTGCCTAAGTTCCCAGTAGCAAATGGTGGCCGATTAAACTGGACTTGTATCATTTTTCAGTTCAAACTACAGACACTGCCACGGTTACTGTAATGTTTGGGGAGGCTCTGTCATCCATGTTACAAAGTTTTTATCTTTTGCAAAGGCTGTTTCATGAATCCTGTTTCCTGCTGCTCTGGAGGTGGACAAATGCACAGCACTTCTTATGCCTCTGCATAGGTTGCAGGCATCAATCAGTTCAAGCACTGGGGCAGATTTGCTACAAGAAGAAACGTCTGTGGAACAGATGAAGGCATAGATTCACTTCCAATAAACTAGCAGACCCGCTGTTAAGGGGAAGTAAGCTGATCCAAAATAAATGGGCCGAGCAGATGTTACTTGCTTACCAGTATAAAAAATGGAATGGGATCCTAGGGCAGGACAGCTACAACACACTGGACTGCCTGTTACCCAGCCAAGTGGAAAGCTTGGAAGATGTTTATCATCGTAACACAGAATTGTCAGGGACACTTACCTAGAGTGCAGAAGGATAGATCTCCCATCAGGAAATAACAGCTCCATGCTGCAGTTTTGGCATAAGCTAACTGCAGTACTCATGTACTGATGTACTTTTTGTCGGAGACTAAGCAGTCAAAGGATTTCCCACTGATGAAGTTTTTACATGAATAATCTTCCTCCTACCTGTGCAGGAAGCATCAATGGAAGGAAAGCAGTATCCATGCAGCACTCATTTGCAGCTGTGATAATACTGCTCCAATGTCTGGTGGAGGAGTGGTTGACACAGGAGTTCCAAACAAGGATTTAGGTTTGCAGAAAGGTGATCACTGATACATCCATTTTGGCCAGTTCTCAGGGTCTGTGCCCTCAGAATGGCTCAGCCATGTATTATGAGGCTGACAAATAATAATAATAAAGGAAAAAAAGAATTCTACTTGTTTGTTGAAAAAAAACGTGGTGGAATTCTGTAATGTAGAAAAAAGCCTCTCCAGGCAGCACCGGGTTTGTTTCTCGGTTAATTTGCAAATCTTTTATTTTTACTGTTTTTAAACATGCTTTTCAATTCATACTTTTGGGTTTGGGTGCAATTCTAGGGAGAGATGCTTGAAATTAAATTGTTGGCTCTCTGTGCTCTGTGTTAACTAACCCTCTACTAGGCAGAAGAGAGCATGCAGCTGGGGTGCAGATGGCTGCCATTTGAAAGCTGTAACACAGTAGTGCATCCCAGGGTACTTCACTTCTGTGATGGGACTTTTACCCCTGAAAAATTTCCTGCTTTCTTTGCTGTTGACCAGCCACATTCAGCTGAACAGCCTCTAAGCTCTCAAGACGCAGACTGAGACCTCCTAAGTCATGTTGGTTATCTGAACTGCTCTGCTCTTAGAGATGTTACTTGAAACCTTTCCTGCTTCTCCAGCAGCAGAGAGAGGGCGGTTGCGCTTCCTGGCTTTATTCAAGTAAAGTGTCTCCCAAGACATAGGAGAACTGCTATAATAGAACTTGATAGCTGTATCCAACCAGACCCTGGTGCAGCTGCATGAGACATTTTGGGGGCTGTCATTAATTGGGGGGTGGGGATGGGGGAATAGATAGGAAAGAGGCACAGAGTGTAACTGTAGAAGCTCATGCTCTCTCTGTTGACTCAGGATAGGGGAAGCTTGAAGAAAGGCCAATTGCTGTTTTTCATTGCAACTCTCCAGTGTTTAAGTTGAGACACAATGAATAGAGATGCTTGTTGCATTTGACCAACTGTGTACCAGCACCAGCTGCTCTCAGCCAGCTTCCTAGCTACAGTAGCAGTTGTGCTCCATCCTTTTCTTTAACACTTCTTTTGCAGCCACGTCTGAAAGTTTCCCCTTCTGAAGGACAGATTAAACAGCAGAATTTGGGGGGTTTAGTGCTACACAGCACTGGCAAGTGAGACCCGTGGAAATTTTGTACTCTATTAACAATAACAAAAAGTGCTGTATTGTCTTATTTACAAGTAATCTGATTCATTAGGAATAAATGCCTTCAGTTTCTGATTGGACTCACAGTTAGTGTCCCATGAAAACAGAATAGGAGTGGCATTGCTGTTTCTATGCTGCTGAGGCAAAGAGCAAGCCTCAAAACGCCCCAAATTTTCATGTTAAAAACAAGCAATACCAATGGGATCTGTGGGGAAGTCTGTTTTACTCAAGATTACAGTCAAGTACCATTTTCCAGTGAACTGACACAATTGTATTAGTAGTTTTGCAGAGTCTACACACGCTGTCATGTAGTTGTATTAATATGAGAAATTTGGGTAAGTGTGCTTGCTAGGAAGTACTGTTCATGGTGCTGTTACAGTATGAAACATACTGCACTAGCAACAGTGTCAGTAGTACTTCAGGAACGAATCTGATTACTCGAACAGAGTTTTCAGGACATTTAAAAAAAAAAAAAAGTTTCTTAAAAGAAGGGTGTATGTGACACTGCTTGTAAGGAAAACAAACAGCTGTGCGCTTGGAGCTTGGTTTCCAACTGTGTTGCAGGAGAGGTACATCTGTCAAACTGCAGTAACACTAGGGGGAGGCAGACCCCTCTGTCTTTGTACCTGATACTTTTCCCTGGCTTCAGATGTTAGCATCATCTAAAAGAAGAAAAAACTGGCCATGACATTGCACAGAAAGGTCCCTGAACAATCCCAGCCCCTGTCTTTGGTAGAAAAAGATCAAGATTAAGAAGTGAGCTTAAACATCATGCAGTGCAGTATCATTAAATTACCAAGCTGGCTCCAGCATCTCTCTGAGTCAATTGTCCTGCTGAACACAGACACGTGTATCTTCTTTTACAACATTTTTGAGTATTATAACTAATTCACAAGCTCCCTCTGCTGGGCTTCCGGCATAGGAGACTAATGGCAAAGCTCCTGTTGGGTTGCTTGCAGACGACCTATTTTTTTTCAGCTTACTTTTGACACTTTCTATGGCATCAGAAAAAGTGTATGATCAAATTCATGTAAATGGCTTTTTAGAAGTGTGACAGAGAGAGGTTTGATGGTTAGATGCATATTAAACTTTTTTACGTGCATAGAAGGCGGCTTTTTCCATAATAATGTAAGTGTAGCTATTACCTCTTAAAAGTACTGATACATCTATAAAAAGATAATGGTACTTGTCTTTCAGTAATACCTTCTGTTACTTACATACAGGAGAGAGCTCTAAGAAAATAAATACAGATCTTTTGAAAGAATTAAAGGCTTACAACCTTCAAATATATTCAAGAGTATGTAGGTTTATGTAGCAGTGGTTTTCACAAGGCAACCAGAGGGCTTCTAGCAGGCATTCAGAGGAATGATGGAGTGCTGAAAATGTTACTGTAATCAGAAGCAAAGAGCTAGTCCTGCTTCTTTCTGCCTAATCCTCAAGGTCAGGATACCTGTCTGCAGTTTTTGAAACACATCTAGGGCCTAGCACTGTCATAACCAATATATTATGCAATCTCTCAGAATCACAGAATCATCTAGGTCGGAAAAAACCTTGAAAATCATCTAGTCCAACCATTAAATCTCTCAGTAGATTAAAAGGAGTTGTGAAATGAATTACTTTCAACTAAACAATCTCGGGCTGAGAAAGACTGCTAACAACAAAAAGGACAATGTTCTGTGATTGCTGTAGACAGCACTTTCTTGCTGACTTTTTGACAGGGATTTACTGAATAAAGTACCTTCCTTACAGGATCCACAAATTTGTGGAGGGCCTTAATGGAAGAATGCATATTGTCTGCAGTGGCACAAGAGAAAAATGGAGAGACTTGAGAAACAATCACAGTAGCTTTTTTACTGCAAGTAGGGCTCCTAGGCACCGGTAGTATACAAATACTAAGTATTATAGTGCTGCTTAAGTCTTGCGCCTGAAGTAAAAGGTATATGGGAATGCAGGTGTCACCAGTGTGAGTAGAATGGTTATTTAACAGCACACAGCATCACTGGACAATTAATTAAAACAGAAAATAAAGAACTTCACCAACCAATTGATACAGAAATTGCAGGTGAAATTGGAATGCATGTATTCCAAACTTTGATCCAGTGAGAAGAGTAAAATGACCACTTCAGATGTGATAGGATAGGTTGTGGTGTCTTTAAAAATACAAAAAGACTTAGCTGAAATACTAAACCATCAGCAATATATCTCTTAGTGTTAGTCGTCTTTTGGCTAAGTACTGACATAATAAAGAATAATTTTACCTACTGTGTAGCCAGCTCATTATTAAATGACATTCAAGAAGTTTGTCAAAAAAATGTAGCTACCTGAAGCATGAAATTTTCTTCTGGGTAGCATATTCTCATATTGGCTTTATTCTTCATCAAAGCATCTGACATCTTTCACCAGAGGATGTGATATCAATATGCGATTTATCCTTTCAAAGCCTTTGGGATGATCATTCTATTTCTTTGCTGTCCCTAATTAAACATATTGCTTCAGTAATTCCCAGGGACAAGGAGGCGTTGCAACTACACTGAAATTAAAATGAACTCTAGAACCATGGCTACACCGTCTGTGGTTATGATTAATTTATTTTATGATTGTCATTTTGATCATAAGTTCTTAGCTGTTTTATTAAAGATATTGAGAGGGAGTATACAGAGACTAGCACAGATTTTATTTCTTGTCAAGGTGAAAGATATCTGAGCTTTTGAAACAGAATTGATTGAAACAAAATGTAGCAAGCCAGTGGAGATCTGAAGTGTGATTTCTGATCATTCAGGCCACTACTAATGATGGTGAGGGTTTCTGTTATAGCCAACCATTTTCTAGAATAAGGAGCAAATACAAATCTGTCATATTTAAGTGTGTTGGAAAACAGAGGCAGAGGCCCTACAATGGCAGTGGATTGAAGCACTAGATAAGAGAGATTTGGAGTCAGCACAAAAATTTCTTATTTTGCTATTAGGACACATCCCCTACCTGCCATAAGCACGCCTTAAGGTCCGTCCAAGTGGCCAGAAAGAATGTTGCTTTCAAGATAGACAGGTTATTTTCTTTTGCATTTTCTTTGGTAATGTGGACGTGGGTCAAGATGGGTTGATTCCTGTCATCCATTCTAATCATGATTTTAAATAATCATTTTTCATCTGGCTTTGCATGTGGGCTTTTTTTGCATTCTGAAAAAGAGGTGATACTCATTAGCATATTGCGTGATGTCAGCCAAAAGGGTATACTGTGTATACACTTAAGTAATCATACTGTTTAAATGTTTGGCTTTTTACACTTACTTTATATTAAAAAATGGTGAACAATGCATTTCTTGCTAGCTAATACTTCTTTATGCAGCATTGTGCAAGGCTGGATTTAGGTAGAAGTTTAAATCTATTTAAAAATCACAATCAGCATTTTTAAATAGTTACTAATTCAATTTTAAAATTAAACACACTGAAGATAATAAGCTTATCAAAACGTGGTTTGTATTGAAAGCCAGTTGATTTATTAAGTAAAGGAACATGCAGAAAATGAACCGATTATGATTTTTCTAACCAGCATGCCTTTGCCTTCCAGAGTTACAACTAGGAGATCTTACCCTTCACATTTATTTTTAAAGGGTTACCTTACTAATCCTTTTACAAAGTATAGAATTTGCAGGACTAGGACCCAAACTGCAAGATGGTAAAATGAGAGCTCTGGAGAGAATGCAGTGTGTCTCACCATGTCTCTGCTCGCCTCATTTGCTTAGGATTTAAACCGTTTCTTGAAGTTCAGTGAAGCTAAAACAATTCATTTAAACATGACTGGAAATGAATGAAGTCTCCAGATGTTAAGGGCTTATTTATTTCTACTGCAGTAACGTTAAAGAACAGTAATCAAGATCACAAGTAGGTTGTTCTCCAGATTGTACAAATTTCATAGTCATTTGGAGAAACTTTAATAAAATGCCTTGTTATCAGGCAGCAAGGTAAGATAAACCAACAAGATTTTTCAGCCATTAGTTTCCAGTCAAGTTTTAAGTGACGTTAATTATCTGTAGCATCTTTTACATGCCAAATGAGAGAATAGAATTTATAACAGATGCTACCTTCACACTTAATGCTAACAGTATTTTTTAAACTTGAAGAATTGTAAATCCTATGATAATACAGATAATAGCAGAAACATTTTAGTGACAATATCTTGATATTCCAGTTAGTTTTAGGATGACTATTTATCCCATCAAGGCTATTTCTACAACCTTTTTCTTTTTTCTGCCTCATTTTGCATTTTTTCTATTCTCTTTTCATAAGTTGAAATATATTTTTGCAAAGTACAGCTGCCATACAGGCTTTCCCCTAAAGCCAAAGCACTACTTAAACTGTATTATTTTAATGACATATGTATTAGTCAGTAATGTACAGACAGATTTGGCTGACACAAATTGTAGATGATTGCAGTGAATTGCATGGCATTGGAGCGGTAGTTAAAACCTGTAAACCCAATTCCTCACTGAATGCCTTAGGTCAGTAACTTGGAAAAGCTTGTGTCTGGTGAAATACATGATTTGTCAATCTTACTTACATTTGACACCACTAAGAGTAAGGCATTAGTAATTTCTTAGGACTGCATTAAAGGCAGTGTTGACCTGTCATGATGCTGAAAGTCCCATAGACATAACTAGCCTCTCTCCTTGGAAACCTGTCTTGCACTTCATTTTTCTTAGCATTTTATTCAAGTAAGAAGGCCTGACTCTTCCACTAAGATGTTTCTGAACCCACATATGTAGTATTGATTTTCAATAAAATTTAGTACCCCCTTCCTTGCTTTCTCTTTTATATTCTCCAAGAAAAATCTGTCTAGTTCAGTTGTCCCAATAAAGCCTGTAACATTTACTTCTTCTATAGGTCTGTTTTCCTTTGTCTCTCCTAATGTCTGTTCCTCCAGTCTGGAGGCTGCTGTTCTACAGCTCTCCTGGTGCTTCTTGTCAGCTTCCATCAGTCTGATGCATCTCTGGGCAGGAAAGGCAGGAGCTCTTAAGGGACCTCTTTTCACCACATTTGTGCAGCTAAAGATTTGACATTCACTTTCCTGAAACGGGATGAAACTGTTTTTGAGAAACATTATGTAAATTTAGTTTTATGTAAGGAACTCTTAATAATGATGTACATTATGGCATGCTCATAAGACTCAAGGCAGTACTTTGTCTTGTGCACCAGCAGAAAAGCAGCATCTTGAAAATGTCTAAAAAATAAAATTATTATAATAGACTTGATGTTTGTTTTGATTCTTCTGTTTAGGTGCTGACCTCAGCACAAATAAAATCAATTTGCCTGGCCATACTAGAATCAGGAAAGCAGTATGCAGTGAAGAAGAGAAAACCATTCCCACTCATGTATTCCTACTATGGAACAGAGTATCTTGGTGAGTAAAACACACCAGCTACTTCGAAAGTGATGCTGAGCCAATAGATGCTTCAGAAATAAAATATATAAAACCTACAGTGTGGGATTTCTCCTGACTGAGGTGGGATCATCCAACCTCCTGCAACTGCTAAGTGGGACTGAGGAGCTGGAGGGAAGGACTGATGCTGCCTAGCACTGGGGAATGCAAGAGGTGCCTGTGCTGCACCAGGGGAGCAGCAGGCAGCAGCTTCATTCCCTCTTCTCCTTTCTGCCCTGATAAATCTGCCCTTGCCAGATGGAGGCAGGGAGGTGTGGTGCCTGTGTAGAGAAGGTTACCAGAGAGAACTGTCAGATGTTATTTGTAAGCTGTTAGTGCCACGTGGGGACTTGCAGAGCATTTTTGGCCATAGCAGTGCAGCTCAAGCATATGCTTGGCTCCAGCCCATTGTGAGTAGCTTAGTTGGAGCTCATCTGGAGCAGTGGTAAGGGGTCAGTGAGCAGGTCCCTAGCGGGGTCCACAAGGCAGAATCCCACTGCAGAAAGAGTGAGATTGGTTTGCAGATGTTAGTGAATTCTCTGTCAGGGGAGCAAAGGGAGAAGTCACTGAGTGATGCTGCTCCATAGACCCTGGCAGGTACAGACAATTCCTTCAGTGAAATTCTGGTTTTAGCTGACTTATACTGTCAGTCAATAGCTGGAATAACATAAATGGTCCAGTTTCAATTTGAGTTCAACAAAGACTTCATAATAATGGTCTAGATTTGGTAGTGTGTCAAGAAGAATAACGTCATGAAAGATTATTCAATTTAGGTTCAGTTTAACTTTACGCACTGAGTTTCAGTCATATCAGAGTGAGAGCAGGAAAAAAACCCATATTTTTGCATAGCTAGGGGAACTGGAAATGACAGAAGTAGTAACAAATCATAGTGTCATGCACCTAGAAAGCTTTTATTCCAAGCACTATTGTAATATGCATAAGGAAGATAAAAGAGCCACGTGCTTGACAAGGAAATCAGTCCTGAGGGAGAGTTGCTGTGAGGTGGAGGTAGGACCTAAACCTACCCTCGAATTTGACTGTTTCTGTTCTTTACAGGTGCAGCACATGGGCTTTCATCAATACTTCAGATGTTGCTTTCCTATTATGAGTACCTGCAGCCAGCAGATCAGGAGCTTGTGTGGCAGAGCGTTGATTTTCTTATGGACCAAGAACAGAACAGCAACTGGCCTCCTGAGCTGGGAGAGACAATCGAGCGGGAGAATGAGCTTGTACACTGGTGTCATGGAGCTCCAGGTTCTTTTCCCATTGGTGCTATGTATAGCCAGATGTTGATCACATTGCATTTCCACATTAGATGGTTCCATGTAGAAGATAATCTCAGGTTAAATTTGACCGATTTTGACATTTTATGAGATGCAGGCAAACAAGTTAGGGTTTTTATTCCAGTTAAGACTGTTTTGTTTATTGCTGAGCAGTTGTAAGGATGGGCATATATTCTGCCTTAAAAGCATAGAGGTGATCATAGCAGAAAGAATTGTAGCGATCCAGAACTGTATGTTTTCTGCTCTTGCTCGCTTTTGTGACAAGACCTCAAGGAATGGTACAGCTGAGTCAGCATATTGCTGAACAGAGAAATAGTATGCAAAAGAACATAGATGCAGACACATCTGTGAGTTTGGGAAGTCCTTCAGAATAGCTCCTTTTCCCCCTCGTCAGATTCAAAGATTAAGCTGCAATTACTACGTCGATAATGCATAAACTCGACCAGTCTTTTCATGTGAAGGGGAGTTTTTACTAGCAAGAGGCATTTTTTCTGAAAGTCACCCATGTAAAACTGCTTTTCAGCAAAAAGGAGAATCAATCCTTAGTTTGGGTTCATGAGGTAAGGCTGATGTGTGTCAGTTCAGAATCTAATACTATACGTTAGCAATTTTGGCAAGTAATGCTGTATATTGAAATTGCTTTTTTACCCCCAGGCAGAATTGTATTGCTAACTAGTCATATTGGCTTGGTAACACGAACCTAGAATCTTACAGAAAAAGTTACTTTTATTAAAGAATGCCCATGAGCATTGATGGATTGCTTTAAAAGTGTGCTATTTAAATTACAAAAGTACATTGTAATTAACATCCCTTAAATGTGCTTTTTGTTGGTATGATTAAGGAACAGGATTCTTGCTTTCACAATCTAATGAAGTGAAGTGAAAACAGCTTTTGCTTACCAACCTTTTTTATTTTTAAGAGATAAAAAATACATCTACAGCATGGCTGGCCTAGTGATGAAACCTGCCTTCTTCATTTCAGTATCTTAAGAGTGGTTTAACTGTTATTGGAGACATATGCTGTGAGACTCGACCAAAGTGACAAAATCCCAAAGGGCATCCCAAATGTCTCCTAAAGTTACTTAAGGAGACATTTAGAGATATGCAAATTCATTAATTGCTATTGTTCTTCCCCAGAAAATCCCGTTTCCCATCACTGTTCTTGGGTGATAGCGCACATGTAACTTACAAGAACATTTTCAGCTACTTCAGTGTATGTTATATTCAGACCACAAGTGAGCAATACTTCCTTAGGCGCTTGATTTGGTTATGTGTCATACACATTCTTTTAAGGTTACCATGAACTGACCTGTGCAGTGCTCTGTTGAAGATTATGATTAATTTATTTGAATCCCCTCTAAAAATAAGCCAAATATCTTCTTCTGTGGGTTTTTTTTAAACAGCGTGCATAACTGTTTATAACTAGAATAAATAGAAATGTTTCTATAAGTATGTGAGCAGCAAAAGAAAAGACCAGGGAGAGCCTCCATCCCCTGCTAGATGCAGGAGGAAACATGGTAACAAGTGATGAGGAAAAGGCTGAGGTGCTTAATGCCTTCTTTGCCTCAGTCTTTGATAAAAAGACCAGTTGTACTGAGGGAATCCAGCCTCCTCAGCCAGAAGACAGAGACTGGGAGAACAACCACCCCGCAATCCAGGAGCCAGCAGTGTGCCCAGGGGGCCAAGAAGGCCAATGGCATCCTGGCTTGTGTCAGCAATAGCGTGGCCAGCAGGGACAGGGAAGGGATCTGACCCCTGTACTCGGCACTGCTGAGGCCGCCCCTCGATTCCTGTGTTCAGTTTTGGGCCCCTCACTACAAAAAGGACATTGAATGACTCGAGCGTGTCCAGAGAAGGGCAACGAAGATGGTGCAGGGTCTGGAGCACAGGTTGTACGATGACGGAATGGGGGTGTTTAGTCTGGAGAAGAGGAGGCTGAGGGGAGACCTCATCGCCCTCTACAGCTACCTGAAAGGAGGTTGCAGAGAGCTGGGGATGAGCCTCTTTAACCAAGTAATAAGTGATAGGACAAGAGGTAATGGCCTCAAGTTGTACCAGGGAAGGTTTAGACTATATATTAGGAAGCATTTCTTTCCAGAATGGGTTGTTGGAATGGGCTGCCCAGGGAGGTGGTGGAGTCCCCATCCCTGGAGGTGTTTAAGAGTCGGGTCGACACAACGCTGAGGGATATGGTGTAGTTGGGAACTGTCAGTGTTAGGTCAGTGGTTGGACTGGATGATCTTCAAGATCTTTTGTAACCTATACAATTCTGTGATTCTGTAAAGCAGCATGGACCTCACTGGAAAAAAAAAAAAAAAAGAGCAAGTTTCTTTTTCTCATTCAGTAAAAAATTGCATCTGTTGCCAATGTAAGAAATTATCTTGCCCATCCTTTTGTTTCTGTCAGTGCAAATCGGTGAGGTGAATGGGGATTTGAAACCAATAGAAGACAGTGCTAAGAGTTTACTAATTTAAAGGCAAAAATTTGACTACTGTTTTAAATAGATAAAAGATTGGGAATGTTAGAATAAACCATGAAAAGGTTAAGAGTGGTGTTGTCACAGGCAGTGGATAAGTGCATCTTAGCATATGCTTTTTAGCATACCAGATCCTCTGCCCTTCATATGTAGCATATAGATATGTAATGTTGATATCTAGAGCATGAGACTTCATTTTTTAAGTGTACTAATCTTTATTTTCTTATGTGTTCTTATTCTTCATTTTTGTTCTTCAATTTGTTTTTTGTTCTTCATTTCTTATGAAACCCTTGGCCTACCTATTACAAAAGACAATCTCACTGCTATTTTCCTAGGCATTGCATATCTGTTTGCCAAAGCTTACCTGGTTTCCAAGAAGCCTCAATATCTGGACACTTGTATTCGCTGTGGAGAGCTAACTTGGCGGAAAGGCCTGTTGAAGAAGGGACCTGGAATCTGCCATGGAGTGGCTGGTAGTGCTTACGTGTTTCTGCTGCTGTATAGGCTCACTGGAAACTCAAAATACATATACAGGGCACAAAGGTTAGCATTCCTACCTTTCTGGATTGAGGGTAATACCGGAAGGTTTCAGGAACATTTATAAAACAGCTCAGAGTCTGTGATCACCACCCTCGGCTGTAACCTGAGTGTTTAAGCCTCAGATGCAATTCTACCTGGGGGTTGTGGGGCAGGCGTGCTCTGGGAGGAGCCCTGCAGTCCTGCTTCCAGGCTGCCTGCGGCAGGTTCTCCCCGACCTCCTCCCTCCCTGCCGGAGAGCCTGTGCTCCTGTGGAGGGGACCAGGGTGGAGGGAGAGGAACTGCATGCATCCAGGTCTCATCCTGACGTGAGGTCGGAAACAAGCCAAGCTGCATCCAGGAGCAGAGTAAAATATAATTTGTTCTGATTTTCAGAGCATTTAATGCTATCTCTTACTACTAGAAGTGGAACTTAAGTATAGGACCTGATTCGCTGTTATTTTACAGGTTTTTAATTTATCATTCCCAGATTTAGCCAGTTTGACATTGTGCTGTTCAGCTTAGCTAGTGGGGTTAATTCCATTTTGTCCTGATGCAAGCAAGCATGGTTCACTGAAAATTCTGTCACAATGCTGCAGTTATCTTTAATATTTCTGTATTTTACTGTACATGTTTAAAAACATACTATTCAATGTTTGTTACCGTTTACAACATAAAATAATGAGGGGAAGATATATAGAAATCAGAGTGACTTATTTTCAGCTGTTTGTTTTGAAGTTAAAACATTTTTATTCTGTAGTTACTCCAGCATTACAGAATTTGTTGCATCAGTGTGAAACATTGCTTGCATCCTGCTGAAATAACAAGCATGATAAAAGTTACTAAAAAGTATTTCTTTAACAATAGATCTGAGAAATTGAAAAAGTTTATGGCTCTCAAAGAGGCATAACACATGTACAGTTCACAAAGGTTCAGCTTTTCTAGATCTCATGTACCTCAGTTATTGTGGAAATCAGAGTGTAAAATCTGCACTTAAGGTTAAACGAACATTCTACTTTTTTTAATCATTGAATGTTATTAAGATGATGCTTTTGAACAACAAGTAAGTAAACATCCAGGGACACCAAATAATAACAAACTCTTTTTTTCTTTTTCCTGTTTCTTAGGTTTGCAGAGTTCTTATTTACAGAAGAATTTAAGGCTGGTTCCCGGGCGTTAGAAAGTGTATATAGCCTGTATGAAGGCTTCTCGGGAACTGTGTGTTTCCTGACTGACTTGCTGCAGCCCAACCAAGCTGAGTTTCCTCTCTTCAGTGTCTTTGTCTAGAGAGCAACATTCTCCAGGGCCACATCCTAGTGGCGAGGGGAGGGGGCACTGCGGTTTCACTTACTTGTCGAGAGAGGCTATTTACAAAACAAGCCAGTGGTACCACTAATGCTAGCCTTAACGTAGCTGGGAGTCGGGTGAAAAAGAAAATACACTGGGGCTTTGGGAGGGAAGTGTGTGGTCAAAAAAAACGGGTCAATGACAAAAAACATGGGGGAAGTGATTGAATCAGATAGGGTAGATATTTAGCTCAAATACAAAGCAAAATCTAATTACTCAAGTGAGAGAGAAAGAGGCATTATTAAACTTTTAATTTGGTGGTTACACAGGGGAAAAAAAAGGCAAGCTAGAATTACAGGGACATGCAAAGAAGAAACAGTGATGCATCCAGTAGGTTTTAAAAAGAGACCTGCAAAACAAATCTTGCAGCGATGGACTTAGTGGGGAGGGTGTTGTAGACATGTCACTACACTTCACAAAGGCAAAATCTGCAATTTTTTACCTAAACCACATCTACTAGTTCTAGTAACATGTATTAGAAATATCTGTATCTTGCAGCTCTTTCATCTTTGTACACATATAATGATCGTCATGTAGATAGCTGTATATTCAGCCTGTAGTTTCACAGGTTCATTTCAGCTAGCGGGGTTTCATGTGTGTAAATGAGAACTGAATTTGACCCTTCCTTTCAGAGCTCAGTCTGTGGTGAGGAGCTGGTGTCCTTACTGATTTCTGTAACCACGTCACTTCCTGTCAGTATTTTCCCTGTCACAGGGAAGATGAGTGGAGCCACAGACAAGGCTTGGATCAAAAAGTTCTATAGCAAAGATACAGCAGGCAGATGCTTTTTTCATGGTACAGCATTACTAGATAAATATTGTTCAGTGATGCAAAAGCTTCCTTTACAAATTAATTATCTTTAGCAACATTCCTGAACAATAACATACATATTTCAGAGAATGGAAAAACTGTTTTCCTTGATGAATTTTCACTACAAACCCTGCAATCTGAATGCAAAACCTTGGATGGCATACTGATCTTAAGAAAAACCAATACAACTCAAAAATGCTTCTTCTCCTAGTTAACAAAATAATGTATATGCCCAAATGATCTGTAACTATAGAAATAAATGGGTTGCTCAACACTAGTTGCACTAGCACTTAAGATTGCAGTTATATGCTGTTTTATATTTATTATATGTATGACAAGGTACTTGAAAGCTGAAGAAAATGCTAACGTAGGTTTGTACTAAAAAAAATATAAAATCAATAGTTATTTAAAATATACTTACTATTTATTTATTTTTATTTATATGGGAATAATGTAATGCAATTATCTTTAAAGACAGATTTGGGAAGCCCAGTATGTCAAAAATTGCAGTTAGGGTAAAAAACTGCCAAACAATTCAGTCTCTCTTCCTGCATTCTCAGCTGGAGGAGATTACAATTTCTTTATTTTTAATGCCTAATGGATTAAAGTTCCTATTTAATTTCAGTGGGCCTTGATCGGGCTATAAGTTGGAGCCAGGTCTTGCAGTCCTTCCACATTTTAATATAGTAATCCTATTCTTACTCTTGCCACTGTTATTTTAATGAGATAGCTTGCATTATTATGAGCTGCAGATTAGGATTTCTGCTATTCTGTTTTGCACTATGCAGCTCAAATTAATTACTTAATCATAGAAGTAACCATATTTCATTGGTGAATAAAGCAATGCAGTCTGTATCAGCTTGTCAAGAATTTCAGGATTTTTTGGTGAATGGAAATGTTAAAATTCAATATACAGTTGATATATGTTTATTATTTGTGGGATAAAAGGTTTTTTAAGAAAATGTCACTTACTGTGTTACTCTGAGAAGTGAGATGTGTACACATAGGGGTTAAGTATTTCACAGGGAGGTATACATATGAGGCTAAATCAAAAAGTCAGTGGAGATGTCTGCATGCTCTGCCCAGCCAGGTTGCAATGCTCTCTGTGAGATCAGAGCAAAGTCAGTTGTCAGTAGTGAAGATCCTGTCTATTAGGATTCTTCTCTAGTTGCTTACTGTAATGTGGGTGTCCAATACATTTCATAACTGGAATCTTTTTAAACATGTTTAAGGAAGGTAAAACTTGGCCTTTCCACTTTTTCCCTGTGGTCAATAACTTTTCAGTCTCAATTTTTATTGTAGGGTGATGTCACTCAGCTAAAACATGTAAGCAACAACATTTGTGCCATAGCTTTTAGATAGCTACCGTATTTTTTCCTTACTGTAAGATAGAGAAATAGGTTCTGCCATGACCTAGACTCAAGCTGTTGCAATCCTACATTTATCACCAATCCTTTTATTTAGAGATGCAAACATAAAACAAAAATGCCTAGTGGTTTGATAACGACACTGTCAAAAAAACCCAAGCAACTCCAGATTTAAGCCTTAACAGAATCTACGCATATCAGAATAGTATTCATGACTTTTTGATTTTGTCCCTGATGCCTACTTTTTAATTATCAGTGCGCCACAACATTTAATTGTTTCCAGTTAGTTATTTCTCAGGAGATTCTTGAAGAAGTTTCCCAAAACCTCAATAAATCTAGAGCACAATAAATCTCTACAGTAACTTAGATCCTGACCAAGACAGGAATGCTGATATTGTAACATATACCACATGTATGTTAAAATTTACCGTACTAGCAGTAGATAAAATCACTCCATTTTATGATGATTAACTTCTAATGGTCATGTTTGCATTTATCTTTTAATGTAATTCTTCATAAATGGCAGGAAATACACATCAAGAATTCCATGTCAGTTTTCTAGTGGTTTTCCCTCTGTCTCTCTTTGTAGAATTAATTCCTTTTGATTTACATTCAGAGACTCTGATCTGCTCTGTGTTGGGTTCAATAGCACCTGCAAAATAAATATCTCTTCAACCATTCTCTATATATGAAGCCATGTGTTTAGCTTCACTTGATACTAATCTTGTGAGGAAGAAAATAGTTATCTGAGTAAGAGTTAGTCCATTCAACAATGGAAAGACCCATGCAACCACACAGTTTTCAAAATGTAGGTCCCGAACATCTCCCTGCAAGTTACACGAGTTTGGCACTGACTTCAGCAAGGGCATCATGCAAACTGTTTACTGACACTTAAGATCAGTAACAGTAACACAAACATCTAGTCTCATGTGATACATCTTGTAAATTATTGGAACATAATTATTCACCTGTTTCAGCAGACATGTCAGTTTGAGCTCATTCTTAGAGCTTTGTGGCTTTTCTTACCTGACCTAGCCAGCTTAAGGTGGCTGATAGACATGCTGTTGTCACAGCTTCTGAACATGGTGTAAATATACCCCCAGGCTCCTCTGAAAATGCCAGTGATTAAATGAGCAGGTTTTTTCATCTATTTCCTCCCCTTAATTGTCTTATCTGCTTTTTTTTTGTACTGTATACGCTATTAACGTACATGCTGTTGCAGCCTTTATTTGTTGTTTTTAAGACATTGACATGAAAGCAACCTGAGCAGAGCCATCAGTACTTTTCAGTGTAATAAAAAAAATAAGGTCCTTTGTGTTCCTTCCTTACTGCTTCAGGAAATCAATCATGCAACCTTTGCTAGATATTCTCAGCGGGATGCTGGTTCCTCCTGCTCCCACACTGGGCTCTGATAGACTGAAAAAGTGTATTCCTGAACAGATTCTGCCACGGTGTTGTGACAAAAGATTGTGTTACTGGAAACTTGAGAAGCCTCTTTCAAAGTGTAAAACACAAGTTACTACATCACATTTGCACATTAGTTCCTTGACTGTGTTTAGTTTCTAAAGTGTAGGCAGTAGGAATTTAAGTGATATAATAGTATTTCTGATTATGCTGTTAAAGCTATGAGGATGCATTGTGTGGGTATTGGTGCTTATTTGTGATGTACCTGTGTTTGTGTGGTGCTGTTTGTGAGTAAATCTGTGGATTACAAATCAGTTTAAGGAGCTGTATATTATTCATGACTTTCAGTAGGTCATCCATAGATTACTGTCAAAGAATAATTTTGAGGAAAACTAGATCTGTGATGTCCAGGTTTAGTGATCTCAGGATTCATAGAGCCAGATGCAATACACTAACACTACAGTTCTAAAAAATATACCTTAATATTTTTTTTGCTACTCACAACTTCTCAGCATGGTAACATACTTGATTTGTGACACTGCTTTCAGTATCTGCTTTGTTTGCATCTTTGTTTCCTTCAGTTTCCCTGCCTTTCTTTCCCAGCCTATGAATAACTTAAGAAGAATGAAGCAGCAGCTCAGGTCTTTTGTGCTTGAAAATAAGATTGATTAATTTTGCTTAAGAGGGGTGTTCCACTTACTTGCATTACATTATTACATGCTCTCTTCTCACTGGCTCTGCCATTTCCCACCTGCTAAGGAAAACTCATTATACTGTATAACAACTGTCACTGATGTTTTATATCATTAAATAAAACAAAGAGAGACTTCCTACAGAGCATGTTCACTTCTCTGGTATCTCAATTCTATTAAGACAATCAAATACAAGTGAAATAGCTAAACATCCCAAAATACACATTTAGATCTGGGAGATGTACACAAACTTATGCAAGTAAAGTGGTCACCTTTTTTGCTACTCTGTGAAATTAAGAAATGCCACTTTGATGTTCTAATTATATGGACATGTAGAAAATATGATAAGAATACTGATTAGTTTTTAAAATGCTGTGGAAAAATGAAATGCAGGTATCTAATGTATTCAGAAGCATACAGCTGCAATATGTGCAAATGGAAACTTTGGTAAGCAATCAGATTTTTGTATTTGCATCATTATCTGCATGTACAGTTACAGCATCTGCCAACATATTGCATGTTTTATGCAGTGACCTATTTTAGCATATGTACGCGTTTTGAGTATATATCCTTGTTATATATCCTTGGACTTATAAGATCCATGGACAGAGTGTATCTTTGAGGTCTGCCAAATAAATCTCAGGTGTGGTAATCTTCTACATAACTTAAATATTCACTGGCAGGAGTGCATATTCTAATCTGTAGGAAGATTAGTATATCAGGAATAAGAATTGCCCTGTAGATTTTAAAGAGCAATCTTCCTGTGAAGAGCTACGCCACTGAGCAATTACTGGCTAACAGCACTGTACAGATTGCTCTGAGAAGACATTTCAGTTTATATAAATATGTCCTGGACTAAGTAGTAAGCAGCAGAAAGCTAAATTGAAAGAAAGAAAAAAAAATGACTAAAAATCACATTACTGAGGGAACTCATACTTCAAAGCCATAAGACAAAAATGCTCAGGGCCCACAAAACAATACAGCAATTTAGGGATGTGAATAAGTACTTTCTGAGAGAACAGCACAGTCTGCTTCATTGCACAGATAGTGGTACAGTGTGCACTGTACAGGTCTTAGCTGCCTTGAACAGCGAGCACTTCATTGCCATTATAGCAAAGTCATCATATGCTGAAAAAAGTCTGCCCGTGAAGGAGTTGCCTGTAGCTGAACCTGCTGCCTACTCCTATTATTTAATGAAGTGATGAATGCTATTGATGCTTAGGCAGTTTAAAAAAAAAAACAGATCCAAGCAGCGAACATGCACCAACTTTTCGACCTGCCTTTGAGTTATTAAACCTCCTGACTAATTTGTCATGTCACTGATAATCCTATACCCTGTATATTTAAAATTTTATATCGTGTACTGAAAAAAGTCAATTTATAAATAGAAATCTGCTTGAAAATACATAAGGCCGTATTTATTTTTAATACTTACAGGGGAGTCCCTTAACTTTGTTCATTGCATAACTCAAAGAGAACGTGGAGGCATTTAGGTCAAGTACAGCAATACCAACTAGAATGGCAGAAAATTAATTCAAAACTGTTTTTGCCTAGTGGTTTAATATTTGAATAAAAGATACTTTATAATACAGTGATATTCAGCAACAGCACTGCATGACTATACATGCATACTCCCCAGAAAATTTTATTTGGAAGTCCTGAAGCCAATTATGTGCCATAGTAAATAGAAAACAAATTCTCTTCATTTATTTCTACTTCATAGAGAATAGAAAGGCTGACCAGAAATTGAACTCTGCTTCTGTCTTCATTACCATGACCATACATGAGAAAAGATTTTCTCTAATGATGGTCTGATTTTGCCACTGATTTGGCCTCCTGTGCTCATTTTAAGGTCCTGATATGACACCTGCTGACATCAGTGGTGAATCTGCACTTGATTTCAGGCCTGTGAGGTTAGGTCCTTCCACATGTGTGAAATAGGGGCAAACCTGGATTATTCTGGACGCCAAGCCTATAGATGTTCCTTTACACAAGTCCCATGGAATTAGTAAGGCTTGTTCATATAGTAAGAGGAAAGCACAGGTGTTTGCATATGCAGGGCTCTATTTGATAGCGGTTTTATACCCATTTTCCCTAAATATGTCTGCAATAAACATGAATGCCAATGCCAATAAAAAGTACAGGGAACTTAAATTACATTACTTCATGTCTAGTTTGTGTTGGTGACACTTGATTATTCAGTATATTCCAACATACGGTGTTCATCACTTGAGTACATGCCACACCCTAGATTGTTTTCTCACTGTAATAGCCATTTGCAGCCATAATATGGTACAGGCCCTTAGAATCAAGGTTGATTTGATTCTTTAGAAATGCACCTTATTGTTTAAAAGCAGGACCCCTGCTCTTCTAATGTTTTAAACACTGTGATCTTTCAGAATGTGTTTATTGCATTAGTTTTGTATTGTAGATTATAATAGAAACTAGATTTTATAGCTTTTTAAAAGCAGTGATAGTACTAAGCTTCATAGTGGCAGAACAAACTGTGTATATTCATATTATGAATATTAAAGCTGTGATTATATTTTGCCTTAAATAAAAGCCCAACCTTGAACAGTATGATTTTGCATTGGATTGCTTATTTCTGTGCTTATCTTTCACAGTCCTGGCAACTTTTCCTTCCGGAGAAGTCATGACTCAGGGCTCCAAAAGCTTTTCAGTGGTACTGTGTTATCAAAGGTAAAATCATTCATCTTAGAATTAGACAAAATATCCAGGCTGCACATAGCGATTAGGTAAAGCTACCTCATGGTAGTCTCCCACAAGATAAGAAAAGGCAGGTTGGTTTTGGCCTGTAGATTAAAGTTTCCCACGCATTTATTTTCAGACTGCTTACATCTCAGTACACGTGGCCTCTTTCCAGAAAGACCCCTCTGTTTCCAGTGAAGGGCACTAGAGCATTAAATTCACACAGGCCTGCCCATAACAATGCCGTCCTAAGCTGAGCTCAACTAAAGGTGAGCAATGGGACTCCAGATTTGCCAGTGCAGCAGTTCAAGAAAAGACCTGAACAAGGGGTTACTGACATTTTTTGTGTAAATCTGGTAACACCCTAAGTTGCATTAAAGAACAGTAGCAGACACACAGGAGTAGCCCTTCATGTTATCCCATTAATAGGCTAACAGCATCTCAAACTCCGTATCTTGCCTTCCTGTTGTGCTCCTGGCAGGTCTGTAGCGAACCTCTACATGCTGAGCTGCAATTACCTGCAAACAGGCAACGAGAAACAAGATGTGTCAGGGCAGGCATCATCAGAGCCAGGTGAGCACGAACCAAGTGCCCACACCAAGAGAAGGGGCTGTGACTGGAGGCTCCCCCTGTGCAGGAAACAGGCACCATCTGGCAACCTGACTGCAGACCTCGGGAGCTTTGTTTCTTGGCAGGTGCTCAGATTCAGGATGTTGTGGAGAGACTGCAAAGACTCGTCCTACCCTGGGGCTATTACCTTTTGCTGCTTGTCCATGTGGGCATCAGTAATACTATACTGCCGGGGTGACCCTGTGCATACCCAGAGCAACTCTAGAGCTCTGGTGGCATGGGAGAAAGGCATGGGGTGGTCTTCGCTGGGGAAGGGCCCAGGCGCAGCAGGCAAACGCTGCTGGCCAACAGCTGGTGTCGCAGCAGGGCTTTGCCTTGGATGATCCTAGGAGCCTTTCAAAGAAAAGGCCTGACAAGCCAGGGTAAGATCCACCTGACAAAGTGGTAAAAGGGCCCCTCTGCCAGCAGGCTCGCTAATCTGGTGAGGAGGGCTCTGAACGAGGTGCATCAAAGGAGGCTTACAAGGACTCGCAGCCCCTTTTCTGCCTT